GTCTATTTTTTGGTGAGTTCAGGAATTCATTCTTTGCCCTTATGTTTGCAAATTTAGTGGAATAAACTAGTTCATAATATGCTTTTAAAAAATATGTTTAGTATCTGTAGTGATAGTCTCTTCTTCACCACTCATATTTAGAATTGCTAATGTCAATGTCTCTCTCTGTCAGTCTTACTAGGTGTTTATAAATTTTATTAGTATTTTTGATAGCCAACTTTTGAATCTTTGTCTTCTCTAAGTTTTTTTTATTGTAAAATCCACATAACGTAAAATTTACTATTTTAACCTTTTTAAAGAATGCATTTCAATGATATTTAATATAGTGCCAACATTTTGCAACCATCATCACTATATAGTGCCAGAATATTTTCACCACTCAGAGAGGATTAAGCTGTTCCTCCACATTGCCCTCTCCCCACAGCCCCTGATAAGTCCTAATGTGCTTTGTGTCTCTGGGTGTTTGCCTATTCTAGCTGTTATGGAGAAATGGGAGCACTCAGTATGTGCCCTTCTGTGCCAGGCTTCTTTCACATATTTGCATCTGTGTTGTATGTGGCATATAGTGGAACCCATTAATTTTTTTTATGACTGAATAACATTCCATGCAATGGATCTTTCTCTTTAAGTTTGTGCAAAGACCCAGGGTAAGAGTTCTACAAAGAGTAGGCCATTTCAAAGTAATTGATAGACCATTGGCTGCAATTAATTACTCAAGAGCTTTCACTTCTTTTTCAGACAAGGATTCTTAATGTCTGCCTTTGACCATTATGGGCTTCAGGGGTGGGCATATGAGACCACCAACATTGAATGTGAGTTTTGTGTATGTATGAATCCAAGGAGGGGGCTTACTACATTCATCAGAGTCTCAAAGTTGATTGGCTTCCTTAAAAAAAGTTAAAAACCACTGCCTTAAGGTCTCACAGAGTAGAAAAAACAAGTTGCATAGGGTATTTGTATATTGTATAACTTATACAATAAATAAATCAGTAAGTTACCTGAGGCAGAGGAGGAGGGAGTGGCATCTCTTGTCTATTCCCTAACTCATCCTTCAATTACTGCTCCTCCTCCTTTATCCCACATCTCTTGCCATTTTTTCCTTCCTTTTCCAAATTTTTGAACACCTACTGTGTGCCAGAAAATGTTCAAGGAGTTGAAAGTAGTCAAGGTCTGTGCCTCTCAAGTTTACATGCTAGTGAGGAAGCTGCATACAAATAAACAGGTAAGCAAGATTTCATTGCAAAGGCAGGGATGACAGAGTCCTTAACAGTCAGTGTAACACATCTTTAATCGGTCACATGAGCTGGGCTCTGTGTGGGGGATGAGTCCTGGAGACTCTGCCATGTGGATGATCACCCCCTACTTGCTGGATCATGGTGAAGTCTTACTCTTCTAACAACCTGTATCCCTGTCCTGATGCTGACAATTTCATATCAGCTCTGGGGGCTTAGTGACTGGCGGTGGGCTGAGGCTATAAGGGAAGTCTGCCTTTGATTGCAGCCCTCTCAGGAGAAATAACATTTCAGCTAAGACCTAAATGACAAGAAAGAGAGACTCATGGAGTGGTCAGGGAACAGGTAAGGGGTGAGGAGAGCATTCCAGGAAAAGTTGCAGAGGAAAAAATGATGATGTGCAATGAACTTGGCATATTTACATAAAGATAAGAAGGTAACTGTTGCTGGAACATTAGGCTGAGTGAATGGAAAGAAATCAGGTCAGTTGATTAGCATGGGCCAGAACTTGTGGAGCCTTTTAGGCCATAATGAGAAAGCAAAATGAGAAGCCATAAGAGGCAGGTTTTAAGCAAGAAAATCACATGATCTTATTTCTGTGCTAAAAAATTTACTCTAGCTGCAGTGAGAAGAATAGACCAGGTAGTTAAGGAGAGAAGAGTGAAGAGATTGCTTGAGCCTATGAAATAGCCTGGATCAGTGTAATGGCAGTAGAAATGGACAGAAGGGGGCTGATTCAAGATTTATTTGGAAATTGTGGTGGTTTTAAAGATATGTCTACATATTTTCTGAAATGCTTCCCTTCAAGAGGTGGAGCTTAATTCCTCTTCCCTTAAATAAAATGGAGTTAGTCGTTTGCTTCTAGCAAAGAGAATGTGGCAGAAGTTAAGGGATGGCCCTTCTGTAGTTAGGCTATTAAAAGATAGTGGCTTCCACTGCAGAGCATGGTCTTCTGCTCTGTTAGGTTGCTCACCCTGGGGAAAGCCAGCTACCTTATTATGCTGCAGCTCTGTGGAGAGGCCCATGTGGCCGGTGGCTGAAGTCTGCCAAGAACTATCTGAGTGATCATGGAAGCTGATCTCACCTCCTCCACTGCATCCCGGTTGAGCCTTCAGATGAGACTGTATTAGTCAGGGTTCTCCAGAGAAACAGAACAAATAGCGCATATATAGCTAAATAGGACAAGATTTATCATGGAATGGCTCACATGATTTTGGAGGCTCAGATATGTGACAATATGCTATCTGCAAGCTGGAGACCCAGGAAAGCTGGTGGTATAATTCAGTCCAGTTTGAAGGCCTAATAAATGAGGGGGCTACTAGTATGAGTCCTAGAATCCAAAGGCCTGAGAATGTGAAACTTCCATATCCAAGGGCAGGAGAAGATGAATATCCCAGATTCCTGATTCACAGAAACTACGAGATAATAAGTGTTTTTAAACACTAGGCTTTGATGTAATCTGAGTAATGTGAGCTTATGGGACTAATAGATTTGGTACAAGGGTGTAAAAGAGAAAGAGATGGGTGAATGAAGATATCTAGATTTTTGGTTTTGAGAAATTCGATGGTAGTTGTGCCATTTATTGAAGTGTGAAGAGCTTGGAGGACAAAACATGTTGGGGTGCGGAAATCAAGAGTTCTGCTTTGGATACAGAGAGACTATTAGACATCCAGTGGGGATGTCAACCAGGCAGCCTGTCAGTGAGCACAAAGTGAGTGCATACCAGCTATCCAGTTATTCAATGTCTAATAACTCTTTGCCAGACTGTTCTATGCTGTGGTGTAATAGTGGGGAACAAGACAGAACACCTGACCTCGGGGCTTATGTTTCAATGGGCAGCAACAGGCCTTGAATGCACAAGTAAATTAAAAGATAATTTCAGCAACCACGAATGAAAAAACTGAGATTGTGTCAAAGGCTGCTGGAGGTAGGTGTGCTACTTTAGCTAGAAAGATCAAGGATGATTTGTTAGAGCTACCGTCAGAGGCTTGCGTAAAAGGGTGTGCACATTTTGGGAACACCACAGACTGATGGTATTTAAAACTTTTGGAAGTGATGGGACCACCTCGAGGGAGAACTGAGAAAGAGAAGGTATGTAGCATTAGACCTAGGGCTCCATCCCTTTGAAATAGGGACAGGAGAACTCTGTAAGGAAGCCCTAGAAGTTTGGAGAAAAATTGGGGATTGGGTGGGTGGGAGATTTCAAGAGAGGAAAGTATTTGAAAAGAAAGGAGTAGGGATCTGTGCCCAATGTGGTTACAAGTTGAGTCTGATTACAGCAGAAAAGTAACCTATGGATTTGATAATATGGATGTTATGGTTGGTTTAATAAGAGCAGATTCTACAGTTTTGAGTCAGAGGAACACAAGCTGTATTGGAATAGGCTAAGTAAAGAATGGGAGAATGGAGGTATTCCCTAAAGGTAATTGCTAAACCAAATAATCATTTCTTAGTCCATCAACAATGAGTAAAGGATTTGGATAGGGGCTCAGCGTCACATGGTGCCACCTGGGGTGCCTCAGTGGTAATCAGCTGATGGCTGAACTTGTCCAGACTGTCCAGGAGGGATTCACTCATATGTCTGCTACTTTGGTGGAGACACTGGAAGGCATGCCTTAGCTGGCCACTTTCTCTCTCCATGTGCTCAGGACCTTTCAAGTAGACACTCCAGTGGGGTGGTCAGATTTATTATGCAGAAGCTCAAGGTTTAAAGAGCAAGCGTTCCAAGTGGCAGGAGGGGAAAGCTGCTGGTCTCTGAGGCTCTGCCTTCAAGCTTGAGGAGCACCACTGCATTTTATGAATTCAGAAAATCTTGAGGGGAGGGCCCTGCACCTCACTTTTCAGTTGCAGGGGTGTCAAAGAATTTGTGTGTATCATTAATCTGTCAAAGAGATCATAAAATGGAAGCAGCAACAGTTGACAAATCTTTTAAAGAGATTTTAATTCATTACAGAAGGAGCAGAGGAAGAGGGTGTAGTTAAAATGTGGGGTTAACAAGCATTTTCCACCAAAAACTAAAAATCATGCTAAAGCATGTTGGCATGTGATGGCAATATGCCAGAAAAGAAGAAGAGATGGCTGTTGTGGGAGAGAGAAGGTGTAACTGAGACCAAATTTCTTGAGAAGGAATGAAGGAAAAGGGCCCAGAGGAAAGGGAGAGGCTGGCCTTCAGTGAGGCAGGAAACACTCCACTCACGGTAACAGGAGAGAAGGGAGAGAGGAGCGTCCAGAGGCATCTCCGCGGCTTTTCTCAGGAGTACCCCTGCCAGTGAGGCCTTCTCTAGCTCCCTTTCCTAAATGGCACCTCAGTCCTCCTGCTTCCCTTCTCTGCTTTATTCTTCTCCACAGAACATGTGCAAATCCATAATGCATATGTGTATTATCTGCAGCACTGTATATGCAGTGCTGATAGATATAGGCGTGACACATTTTACAGATTTCTGGAACATACCAGATACTCACTAAATGCCAGCGAGTGCCCTTAACAAAGGGACACCAGAGTGATGTACCTGAGAGTGGTAAGGTGAGGAGTGGTGCTGAGAGAATGAGATGCGTAGACATCCAGGTGCTGGAAGGTGACGCACGGCAGTAACCTGGTGAGAATCAAGTTAGATCTTAGGGGTTCCATTCACAGCCCTCCCTTCCTAACGTGTCTTTCCTGGCTGAGTCACGGTGATCAAGTTGCTGAAGCCCTCTGAGTCACGCGGATTAGGACTTTGTTGGCACAGACGGAGCGCTCACTACTTGGCTCCGCTTTCTCACGGCCCTGCATTTCCTCCAGTCCGCTTGCTCTTCCCATCTTGCCGGCCCTAGACACCTGTTTGACCCGCTCGCTTGAAGTCCCGGGGAGCACGCAGCCTCGCGGGGCGTGAGCCCTGCCCGCCGGGCGAGCAGCGGCCCCGGAGGGGCGGGGCTGGGCGGGGCAAGCCCCGCGGCCCGAGTGAGCGCGCCTCTGGCTGCAGGCAGGCCGGGTCTCCTGGCGGTCTGTGTATCCTGCCATTCATCCGGTTGTCGCAGGCCATGGCGAAACTGCTGGTGCTCCTCCTCCTGCATCTGGGAATACAACTCTTCAGGGATCACCGGTCTTCTTACCAGTAAGTGGGGTGCAGTGAGGTCTGCAGCCCCCGTCCTCCCCACCTCCGTCAGCCCTAGGAGCCCCCCGAAAGTGTTGTCTAGTTTTCTTACCAGAAAGTCTCCAGGCAAGTGCTAGATGCACCTTCCGCAGCAGGTTCGGAAATGTTTGTCCAGCTTGAAACATATGACATATGAAAGCATATTCTTGCTCACCGTCTGCGAGATGGGATAGACAATCTAAATGGTGTGAATGGCCAGGTTGTTGGTAAACGCAAATTAATTTTTCCTGAAGATCCGTGTGCCTAAGCTATAGATTCCCTTCAAAATAGATAACCACACTGGAGGACCCGGATACTGTGTCAGTGAATGAGCACCCGTTTTGGCTGCCAGGCCATGGCGCATTGCTCCCCAGCTTGGAGGTTTACCCTGAGAGGCCACACTGAGAGACAGAGACGCGCAGGTGGTGCGTAGCAGGTGGGAGTGAATACGTGCTGTGATGGCTGGTCCACCTGCTCCAGTGCTGGGGCAGGTAGAGAAAGATCCCTGTCACTGGCTTGTGGGGTCCTGGCTGTTTTCCTCTGACCCTTCCATTGTGGGATCTTGGGCAGATCATCTTACATTTCTAACATTCACTGCTTCAGTAAGCCTGAAAAGGTAATATAGAACCATATATGAAACAATTAACACGGTGCCTTGGATATAGTAACTATTCCATAATGTAAGTGCCCTGTTTCCTTGGAAGTATTTTATAAACCTTTAGGTACTATACAAGTGGAAAAAAAGTGTTTAAGAATATCAGAAGTTTTGTGGAAACTTCTTATAGGGGTTCAAAGTCTAGAGATCAATCTAATCCCTAAGGCTCAGTCAATAATATCTTGTATTTACTTTGAAATAAACATTACTGAAAATGAAGCTGAACATTTTGGATTTTAAAAAAATCATATGATCCTATGGATGATTAAAAGCTTAGTTTTGGAATAGGTTTTTATTAACTATCATACTTTTTTCTTGAAATTGTTCATTATTTTTGGAATCATAAACTGCTAGGAAAAGGTTAGAAGCAATGATTTGGGATTTTAAGTAATGTAAAATTACTGTTTGTGGAATTTTATTAATTATGGTACTATTTGCTAACAAAGGAGAATAATTTCCTTTCTTCCTTCCTTCCTGCCTTCCTCCCTTCCTCCCTCCTTCCCTCCCTTCCTTCCTTGTTTCCCCAGTGTATGTGTGGGGTGTGATATTATCCTGGGGTGAAAATAAATGAGATATGAATATCTAACAGCCTTTCTAAGCTTTCTCCTTTTGAGTCTCTATTTCCATCACCCCTGTATTTTGTTCTGCCCATACGCTCCCAGTTGCCCCACATGCAGATATCTTCCAAACAATTGCATATCTGCCAGGGAGGAGTGAGGGTCTGTCTTTCTGGTTTACCACTCTTACTTTAGTCTAAGAATGCAGGCTGTGGACATTTTGTATACTTTTTTGTGTAAAAAGTATAGCTTTACCACCCCTACCCTAAAAAAATTTCTCTCCTAACATGAGGTCTTAACTTATTTGATTCAACACTAATATTTCCCTAAGTTTGTTCCTTGAAACATGAGTCACAAGACTTGCTTCACACACACACAAAAAAGATAGGTTCCTTGGACAAGTAAATTTGGGTAATGTCTCTTACAGCCTTTCCCTAGAGACTGGCAATACACTCATGCATATGGAAAGCTTTGAAAATTCTGTCAGTAAAAAAAAGCTGATGGACAGTAATCGTAATGTGGTTGTTAGGGGGGACCTGATATAGGGGAGAGCATAGTA